CTGCAATTAAACTGTTGGTGCTTACTGTAAATGGTTTGTATACACATTTTATGACTTTATTGAAGTTGATCTTGGTTAAAATGAAAACAAAAGTGAGTAATAACACACGAGGGAAGCAGCTGGCAACAAGCAACACAATTCTCCCGAACGGAACCTCTAAAACTGTGCCAGAACAATTCGCACAATTAGTCATAATTCATGGAATGAGCACAAGTTTTTGGTTACCCCTTTACTTACACCCTCTACACTACTTATAATGAAGAGACTTACAATGTCATTTTTGGTCATGGAGCTTTGTTCAGCAAGAGGCACAACATCATGATACGCACAACATTTGGACCGCGTTAAACAGAAAGGAACCAAGCCACATCAGCTATTGCCAAATTTAATCGGGCGATTTAATTTTTTACATGAAAACGGTTTTGCGGATTTCTGTGCAAATCTCAGTGAATTTTTTCCATAATACAAAGCAAATTCCTTTAAATTTGCAAAGGAATCTGCACAGGCGTTTTTTCGTAAAAAATATAATTTCCCTGTTAAATTTGGCAATAGCTGATGTGGCTTGGTTCCTTTCTGTTTAACGCGGGTCCATTTCTCATGTGCAAATTGGAAATGGCGAATACCTACACAGATCATGCGGGTCAAAATGATGCTGCTATTTTCACTGTGCTCAATCGATTTGACGAAATGTTGTGTCAGGAGGTTTGCGAAAAGCGCACAATAACGTAGACTATTCGTAAGTTTGTTTAAGAGGTTCAGGTCATTATTTTGTATCCCCTGAAGATATGATCCATACATTCGATATCTGGAAAAGAGCTGCGCATAATTCTTTGGTCTCATACATCAGTATTGCCTATATACGTAAATGAAAACATAGAGGAGCATACATAACATCCTCCTGTATATGTTGCAAAGCTCCTCCACCGTTTCCACCTCGTCCTTGGAATATGCATGACCTAACAATGTATGGTAACAGAAAACAATGTAATTTTATTCTTTCAATCAGTTACTTGCATATGATATTTGCTGGTTTGTGACTTGTATTGTAGCTCTGAAGACTGGTGAACCCCAAAACGCGTCAGCAATAGAAAAAACATATCTAAATAAATTTTAATAAAATAAACACTTAATTGAACTACTTGTTTGAAGAATTAAGGGCGTAAGTGCCAAATTTTCAGAAGTTGAATTCTTGCTGGAAAACTCTTTGAGGGCGGGCCCATCTTAATGTAGAGTGACACTCTACCGAAATGGCTCCGTAAACGTCTTTTTTAACATTTGAAGGCGTGGTCAGTAGAAAAATGGCGTGAATTCCGAGCCTTTTCTCCCATCGTTTAATGCGTTCTAATGATAAAGACCCGTGAATAAGGGCACAAATTATGATTTTTCAAATTTTCATCGAACACGCGTGCTATTTAACTGCCAATACTGTCATGGCACTGTTGGCACAAAGCAGTTTTGTGAAAGGAAAGCGTATCCGCTAACATTTTAAGATTTGTTATTTCTTTTCTAATTTGCTCCATACCCTTGCTCGTATGACCGTGAACGGATGGTATGTAGAACATTGATTAATTGTTTTGAAGAATAATACAAACAAGTGTCTGAGAAATTGAGATTTTCATGTCTTCTCAAAACTTGACTTTTGACCTTTGTTCCCCTTTGATAACCCGTTCTATCATAACAGCGTTTCGACTGAAAAATCAACCTATTTCATTATTACAATGGCGCTGATACGCAAAAATCACTTTGATTATTTAAATGTTTAATTTTATTCATATAAGAGCATTTGAACCAATCTACACGGGTTCCGTCGTTATTCTAGCCGATAGGGAGCGCTTTTTCATTTCAACCTGCATCTTGAATTCTATTACTACTATAGTGGCAATGCGTTGAAATGGCGCACCAGCTCAACAACTAGATGGTGGAGAGGGGCCCAATATATTTGGAGTTGATTACTCTGTGATGTTGATGCCTTTATTTAGTGCACTTGATGTCGAAGCATGAAGGACGATAATCGTTTTTCTATATAATTTATTTTTTTAGCGGTAGTGTATAATGCTTTCTCAAAACTGATCGTTGACATTTTGAGGAGAGAGTTTTTTCATCTCAACGATGCTCATCTTCTTCGGGGAACTTAAAAACGCGCCTACGCATAGGGAACAACTGAGCGCTTCTCTAATACGAACGTATTGGAGCTTTCCCGCTTGTTCTCCGTGCATATTTAATTGCTTTTTCATCACGAGGCAGCCCTTCAAAGGCATCTCGAGCTCAGTAATACCTCGTCCAAAATCCAAGCGACCCCCGAAAATCGACAAACGTGACAACCTTGCGCGAGGTGCGGCGCGCGTTATCATCAAAGCGCAGACCCTTCAGCCTTCAGCGCTCCATTCAGCGCGGCTTTCATAATCTTAAGGAGGGAAATAAACGGTGGCTTAACATGTTCATGTCCCCCTCCCCCACCCCCCCGCCATCGGTCCGTCCCCTCGGCGCCCCGCATCAATCTTGGTTCCTCTGTTTTGACAACCACCCGGCTCCGTATTACAAGTAATCGCCGAAACCAGCCTTTTCAACCCCGTCCGAGAAAACACCTTCTCATCCTCGCTCCTCGCCCGATGAAAGGGGAAAAAACCGGGAGAAATTAAAGATTAGAGGGCCCGATTACCCATCGACTCCTCCCGAGCCGCGGTAAAACGTCTTATGAGTCTTCCGGCGTTGCCAAAGATCCCTCGATAAATACGAATTTTTAGCGGAATTTGTAAATATTTGCCTCCCAATTTTTCAGAGGATTTATTCTCAATTTAATTATACTTAGCTCAAACCTTGGAGACTAATTTGTTGGGCTTACTTATAAGGAGGATATTTTCCCTTTTTTTTGTTGAAGCCATGATCGTTGACACCATGATCGTCGACACTATGATCGTTGATACAATGATCGTTGACGCCATGATCGTTGACACCATGATAGTTGACACCATACTCAAGGCGCATTTTAACTTTTTACCGCCTAGGCACGACGTCAACAATCGTTGACTCTACGATCAGATTTCGAGTTTGATGACACCATGCAACTAACCCTTTCGATACTCCTCTTCGAACTTACGCATGATGTGCTCCGCGTCCTCTTGCTCCTGTTAACAGTGGCGTGGCGTGCTTTGCGATATATCGATTGGTCTGCCATTTAAGCATAGGATAAGGATCGATAAACAGGGTGTTCGCAACGAACACCTCAACAATCGATTCTATACCACGGTCTCAAATGGGAAAATATCGACACTCGATATTTTCCCATTGGAGACGAAGGGGACGCCGGACGCTCAGTGAAAGAATAGTTACAGGGGGTTTTAAATGTAATAAGGGAGTGACTACTCCCTAGAGGGTTGTGGGAGAACCGGGCACTGTGGTGGTTAGGCGTCACAGCTAGAGAGCCCTGTAAAGCGACTATTAAGTATGTGGATAAGAAAATCGTAAACGAATTTCGGAAACAAATATTTTATTCCGAGAAATGGCAACACTCAAAAGTCCATACGGCGTTTTACGTTAGCAAGGTAGGGCTGCTCCGCTGTTTCGTTGCACGGCTGACAAAAGAGCGTAATTGCACTCAGAATTGAGTCTGGGAAAGCATTGACTTATATGGACAACAAGACTCATCGCAAAGTGTAGGTACGTCGTTATGTCTGGAGGGTGACGCTGACGCAAAACGTAACTCCAGTGCTCCGTTGGTCTTGGTGAGCGTGAAGTTATACGAGCAATGAGGCACATCCTTAAATGTAGGCTGGGTTCTTATGTCAGCGGAATAACGTTGCGTTGGCGATGCCGTGAGATTTCTCAAAAATCTTATCGCTCGTGGGGAGGAGTGTACTACGGAAAAAGGTTTGGATTAAACCTCGAGTGAGGTAATTGATTAGCATCTGAAAGGGACTACATTTTTTAGGAAAAAGTAGCTTTCCGCACGTTAAAATCAATGGACGATAAGTCGTTTATGTAAATCTCATCGGCTATGGGGAGGATTTTGCCACAAAAGTCGGGTTGAATTAAGCAAAGAAGAAAATCTGGAGGGAACTACATTTTTTAGCTTTTCCTCTTTCAATGTTGTGTATATCGACGATGAAACTGCAATAATGCGTTTCTCGGTTGCGGCGTCGCAAATCTCCGCCCTTATTTTATTTTTTAAGAAGATACTGAGATAACATCATGGAGTGAAATTTTCGCTAAATATTCTTCGCAGTGAGAAGAAAAATTAGGGAAGTTTTCAAGGAATGACCTTCAGTAGTCTTCCATGTGGAAAATAAGATGTAACAGGAAGTCTGTTACGCCGCAAAACGTGATATGCATTTCTGCTGTTTCATCGCATATCGACATGTGTAATACTTTTTTTATCATCAACGCATTATCCCTCCGGTCTCTTCTTTTATATCATTTATCGATGCCTATCTAATGCTAAATCGATATAGGTACGTTTGGATGCAACTATATTCGTGATCCTCGAATGCCCGAATTGCATACTCAAAACAGAGGCGCATTGGTTTCGTACTGTTGTTCCGCACTAGCTGTGTATTTCAGTGCGGGTTGCATATATTTTAGCCCCTAAAAAATATGAAGGATTTCGCAGCCTCATGAAAGCAGGGTAACAGAGAGTTCTTAGCCTTCCCATTTTAAAAACTCATTTTCCCTTAAACGCATTTCAAAATTATGACTATTTCAGTGCTCTGTGCGTACTAATTTACGCGATTTTGCAAAAAACTTGGTATTTTCACCGGCGCGAGTTTACGACTGGGTGATTTTTCCCGCAGTTTTGCGAAATAATCGCGACTTTGCCAGCTTTTCAATTTTCGAACACTGTTTTTGGAGCTCTCCCATTAACACACGCGTCCGGTTGCTTGGTCTACGAGTTTTTTCCACCCCTGTGAAATTGCATGGATTATTTTTCGGGACTGCCCAACCGTCCGTATTTTTAATTTCGCTCGTGCACGCCCGATCCTGATGTTTCCGTTTCATTCGTGTTTCAGGAGTGGGCGATTTAACAGGTGTAACGATAGCGGTGCCTGCAGCTGTGGCGGTAGGCGAAACGGCGACTCTACATTGCGACTATCAACTAGAGACGGACCATCTGTACACGGTCAAGTGGTATAGGGGCCGCCAGGAGTTCTTTTGTTTCATCCCCAAAGAGCTCCCCAATGTTAAGGTCTACCCGGAAGCCGGCGTGAGTGTAGACGTAAGTTCGATACTTTTCCGTTTTTCTCTTACAATCTAATGAACGTACATCAGATAAAACGCGAAGAGTTTGGAACATCAAAGGGGCAGAGTGAGAAAAGAGCCATTAGCTAATTTGAAATCGAGAGTGCATATTTTGGCTGTCATTCGGAGATCCTAGCAAACTGAACTATCGCTACGTGTGAATCATACATGGTAGTTGATGCGTCTCCCTCTCAAACTATGGGAAAAAAGTCGCCTGTATTTGGAATCCAGACACTTTGAAAAAAATTGACAAGAAAAAATACTCGTGATCCAATCGGATTTTTGCTTTAATCAAAGGAATTCCGCTTAAATTGAGAGGCTTGGCTCTCGATTCAAGTAATAATCCGATTGAATCAAGAGTATTTTTTTCNTACACACACAAATGATAGACTCAACTTGTGATATCGAACAACAACTTTATTCAGAATTGAGGCAGGTTTTATACATCAACAGTGACCACGACTTAAGGTCAGGCTAGGCGAGTGTTTACCAACGCGTGCATCATCTAAAAAGTAGGAAGGTAAATACGGAGGTAAACAAACGAAAAGCATTGAACTCAAGGCGTATCTCACACGAAGCGTAAGCAGGCGCTACAGCATGAGGGAATCGGTCTTGGGAGGGAATTGGGGGAGGGAAACGGTTTCGGGAGGGAATCGGGGGAGGGAATTGGATGGCGCCCTTTTTTTCTTGTCAAATTTTTAAAGAGTCAGGACTCTCGATCAAGGCGACTTTTTCCGGTGAAGTTTGTTTGTATCTAATTGTAAAGTGATTCATATCAATTCAATCACAGTCGGCCATTGAGGAAGCAAAAGTAGAACTTTCAATACAAACTAAAATATCTATTCGATGTATACCTTCATCTCTGTCCCACATCACTAAAATCTTGGAATCACTACAATTGCTAAAATCCAAGAATTTCACTTCTCGAACGTCCAAATGTGCTTTGGTGTCCTGCAGAGCAAGTTTCAAGCGAGTCATTGTGTAAATGTCGTAAGTTTAATGTGCGCGTAAGAATTTATCAATACCATCATTTTAACATTTTTTCCTCCTTCACCGGGACAAGAAAGGGACGCGTGAATTCGCTGTTGTAAAGATTTCCTCTCAAATCAAGAATTAAAGCACTAGAATCGAGCGTGTTTCTGCTTCATATTTCTTACTTTCATTTTAAAATAATCATATTTTAAGTTCAAGAAATGTTCTCTTCGTGGTAATTAGACCGCTGTGTGTAGAAAGAGCCTTTCTTGGTTGTGATTATTTAGCATCTCCAGTGCTAATTTATCCTTTAGAAAGGAAACTATCGGGTGAATTTTCTGAAATTTTACGTTTACAGCATTGTGAAATCATAAAGAATAATCAGTAAAAGGCACAATGAATGACATACATTTCCTTGGTACTGGGTCATATTTCCTAATTTTCTTTCTTCTACCACTTGTTTTCCTAATACTTTTGCCTACTAGTTTTTTGTCCAATTACAATAATTCCTCGAATGAAATGTCCTTCTTGCTTTTTTTTCAAGGATAATTGTCCTAATTGTGATTGAAACTTGAAAATAAGAGGAGCAGAGAGAAAAGTTTTTGACCAAATTTCTCAACTTCAATTGGTTTCATAAGAGGCAATCCCATTGTTTTAACCGATGTATTGAACTTATCAGGTAAGTTATTTTTTAAAATTGAAATTAAGACAAATCCCTCTAGTAAAAAACTCAATGGTACAATCCACTCGCAGGGCTATCTGTAATGGGCCAAAACACAATCTAAGGAGCAAGAATTGGGAAAACTTTTGGTAGGAAACAATGTTTTCGGAAAAATGACTTGCCACTAATTCGCTTCAACGGATGAAACTTCAGAGGAGATTTCGAGACACCGCGATCGAGAAATACTTTTCAGCACCCAGAGCTTTACTTCAGAAATAAACTCAATTTTTTACACCAGTATGCGCCACTGAAAGAAAATAATCTTAAATTTGCCGCCAGTAAATATCCTCTCATAAATAAAACAATTTGCAGCTTTATAGGAACGACTGTTTTGCTTAACCCAAGCATATTTTTGCTCGTATCAAGGAAAACTCAGCTTGAATCAAGATAAGAAAAATCATCGGCGGTAAATTCAAGAATCAGCATGCTCGAGTCAAGCACACTTTTTTCCCGTGACGATTCTGATTGAAAAACTTGACAACACCGCGGTGACGGCAGGAGCCCTCGGGGCCCGGCGGGGGCGAATTCTTTAGAATCATCGGGTTGTCAGAAAAAGTTGCGCGCGAATTCCCCGGGGCGCGGCCCGGAGAGTTGTGAACTCCCGCGCTTGGAAGTGACACGCGAGCAGCCCCCCGCCCCCGGCCAAAACCGCGCAACCCCCGACCTCTCCTTGCTGCAGATGCGCGGTTTCGACCGAGTGGGGCCCGGGAGGGGCGCGGAAACGTACTCGGGAAGAGTTCCGGGTCGCGGTATAATATGGTTAAAAATTATTAAATGGAGGACAAATAATCGCCAAGTTTCCCGGAATATGGTGCCGGGCGCGAAGTTGTCTTCGATAAGTGCAATCCTTCGGAGGATTGCTTGACCGAGTTTAATTCCGAGGGGGGAAAGGGGGCGGCGTGGTGGGAGAGGGGGGGGCGAAAGGAGTCTCTTTTGAAATTCGATTGTTCTAGCTCCGTGGTCCGGTTGTGCCTGGTATGCCAGATCGGCCAGTGAGCCTCGGTTTTTTTGCCTCTGTGCGTGGTTGCTGAAAGAAAGAAAAATTAGAGTTAACCTTAGGGTACGGAATAATTAAATGGGGGAAAAATTATGAGTCGAAATGAAAAAATACTCTACTGAAAACGATTATGAATGTAGGGATGTCCATAGGGAATGTATTAGGGGCACATTTAGCTGAAAGGATCCAGCGCGATAAGTGTTGTAAAAATGTTAATTCTTCATATTATATCAAAAATCTCCCAGAATAGGGAATAGTCTTGGCTTCCCACGTAAAAAATGTTAATTGTGAAGGAAAATAATTGTAAGGTTTTTACTTTCTCGCTCCCCTAGGGTAGAGAGGAAGTATTGCCATCCTCCAAGAGAAAAAAAAAAATAAAGTTGAAATTTCATCATTTCTAGGTTATATTGAACATACGTTAAGTATTTTTCAAAGAAAGAGAGAACTTGCACGATTTTGAAAACTTTGTAATCGCGTTGTTTCCTTTTTGCTAAATGTGATTCATTTAATAACCAGTCCTTTTTCAGACCTTTTCATGAAGTGTCGTTTCGCATTCAGTGGAAAAAAACTTTCATTAGAACTGCCGGCATAGTTTGCAAATGTATCTTGGCAGATCCTGACAAAAATGATGGAAGTTCGGGCTCATTTCCTCCGTTTCCGTGTCACGCGGCGCTGTTTTAGCTACGAGATATTGTTGTCACCAGTCGAGTTGTTGTCACGCCTTCAGTGTTGTGTGATACTTCACCGTCCACACCGGAGTTCAAATATTTGTATCCAAATTCATTGTGCATCTTGATACTAACTTGTAGAAACTCGCAAAAAAAGTTGGGATGCACCAGTGCGTGGCACCCAAATGCATCAGTGTATGGCCAGGCCACCCTCTCTTTCAGTGTTTTTACAACAGCCCCCGTTGATAAATTCTATCCCAGATGACAAATAGAAGTTGCAGCACTGATGCAGAAACGTTCATACAAACACTGAAATTTCCATTTTCTCATTTTACCTGCTATTTACAGAATGTTTATGGGAAACGAGGATAAAATTGACGTGCGTATAATGATTAAATTAGAGAGTTAGCATTGGCGTTTCTTAAATGTTACAACTAAGTGTTGACCTAGATTCAATACTTCATATGTTTTACAAGAATACTAAGCATTTGCATAAAGATGATCATCAGAGATTACCCTTTTAATACCCTCTCGGTGTAAAATTGAACCTACATAATCGTGAGTATGTATAGGCATGCTTTGCAAGGTACTCTTTCAAATCATCCGGTGACCCGTCCATGAATTATGCGTCAAGCCCTTCTTTCCATTTTTAGACCCTTTCTTCCCCTTCTTAAACCTTTCTTTTCAGACATTTGTCATGAAGCATCCCTCTTCTAAGGTCTAAGGTGATAGACATACGGCCTCTATTCAAATATTTCTTCAATACCGCACACAATACCCCGGCGTTACACGAAAACGGATTATGGGGCAAAAATAAAATACTCGGGTAGATCGATACTCGATGTAGATATTTCGACATGATACTCTTTAAGAATGAATTTCAAACCGCACATCCAACCCAAAGGAATTATAAAATAGCAGCGTACACATCAACCTCCATAATAATAGCCCTAGAAGTAAGTCTTAGTCTAAAGTCTAGAGTTAAACATAATGTATGTATTCTAATTCCTGTATAAGGAGGTGAATAATTGTTTTAAAAAAAGAAAAATAAAATAACGACGAAACTTCAAAAACAATTTAGACGTGTTAATAAATGCTAAAACAGCCGAAGTAGCGTCTACCTGAAGGTTTGCGTCTCAGGTCAACTCGTCCGTTTGAAGTCGTCCGAAATTTCTTTAGCCGTGCTTAATACGGCCAAAAATATATAGTGATCCCAAAAATATAGGGTTATCATTTTAACTCCACCTTTTTCGCGTTAATCTCCCATTTTTTGAAAACTCGTTCTGTGACTATAACTTGTTGATTGAGATTGACATGTTTTTAAGCTGCACATATATAACTTTATTCGCATGGAAGGCTTACGTTAAAATGGAGTTATGTCCTTTTGCTCGGAAGCGACGAATTGTGCGTCCGCAATTTTCAAAGAAAATCTTGGGAAAGCAGGCAAAATCACATGAAATTAAAAGCAATAGCAATGATTAGTAATATCCCTCAAAAAATGAAACGGGACAATGAGTTTTGGAACGCCACAGATCGAAGTATCGAGCCCGTTTAAGATTACTTTTCCACTTTTGTTATATTACTCGCGCATGTAGAAAAGAGAGATGTAAACTGAAAGG